CATGCATGGGCAGCCTGCGGGCCGACATCACGCACCTGCAAGGAGCCATCGCCGACGTGTTCTCCCGGGCCGGGGCGGTTCGTTACCCGTCCTGGAAGTTCCCCGACAAAGTGTCGTGCGAGCTGGACCTGGTCGAGCTGCTGGAGCGCTACGACTACGTGGAAGATGACCTGGAGTTCAGCCAGCACGCGCACGTGGTGCTGCTGGAGCTGGTGATCGACAGGTGGGAAGGGGAAACCTGGGTCCTTGTCCTGGCACAGGGGCCCTCAGGGCTCCCGGGAAGGCGCCCCAGCCCTGGCACTGTCACTATAATCTGCATCGGGCCCTGGGGATCAGCTGGGGCTCTCCAAGGGCCTTTACTGTGTCTCCTCTTTGGAGTGTCATTGCACAGGGCTGTCACACGGTGCCTGCTGCGGTGCCCTGCTCACCGAACAGCCCCAAAACCCTGGGAATGCTCAGGCCCAATGGCAGCTGCCCCTGGAGGGGCGGGGAGGCAAAAGAGCCCTTGGCGAGCGGCATTAGGGAGAGCAGCCCTAGATGTTAAAGACAAGCTGCTCGTGCAGAGCTGGCTCTGGGTGTCTGGCACTAAGAATTTGGCCTTGGTATCCAAATTGTTTGGATTTAGTGCCCCAAACCTCCTGGAACTGGCTACTGCACTGGGCATCCATCCCCTCCGCTAACCCCTGCAAGCAGAGCTGTGTCTTTGCAGGTGCAGGAGGGTTTTAATCCCACCAAAAGTTGCTCCACTGAGTGATTTGAGTGTTGGTATCCGGCCTCCTTGGCCAAACTCAAGTTGTCCAGAGCATGGGGAGGGAGCAGAACCTCTTTGCCGCTGCCCTGGCCCTGCACCGTTAAATGCCAGTGGCTCTTCCCCTGCTGCAAATGCTCTGTTGCTCTAAGCCCTGTTTTGTTTCTGTCCAAGAAGGCTCCTCCTGCTGCTTCAGAGCTTCACAGGCTACGTGGAAAACCTGCTGAGCGAGAAGGGGATCCCCGCCGTGCAGCCTGTGGGACCCTGCATGTCGGCGGGGCTGACGGTGCGCAAGTTCTGGAGCAGCATGCTGAGGCTGGGAGCCCTCTGCCAGCAGCTCCTCACCGAGGTGGGACGTGGGCGCCCTCCAGCACCGCGAGCCGAGGGCAAGGCTCATGCTAATGGCCCTTCGCTCAAGGCACAAGCTGCCTAGGGTTTGCTTTTGCATCTTGCAGAAGTCACCGTCCCTTTCTGGGATGCCACATGGCATGGGTGGCAGTGCGGGGGTGACAGAGCAGGAGGAGCTCTGCCCTGGCCGTGGTCTCGTAATGATTCTTCTGGGTTACCCATGAGACAGGAACAAGAATGGGAGTTAGGGAACAAATTTCACTGTGAAACTAGAGCCTCTGCCTGGCTGAGATATAGATATTATGGCTGGAAAGCTACCTGGCAGCTTTTAAAATTCAGTTCCCTGGCATCCTCCATCAGGGAGTACCCATGGCCTGTGTGAGCAAGTTAGGCTTCTGTTCATAGGCCATTCATCTTATTTGTAAGATATAGATGGGTAAGACATTTAAGTTATAGAGCACAATAAATAGGAAACCCTGACTGCTTGGTGACACTGCTCCTCCTACAAGTTCCTGGAACTTCCCTCCTTCCAAGAGGCCTCGCTGCCCTTGTAGTCACTTGCCTGCACTCTCCCTGGTGCCCCATCTCCACATTTAACATCTTTGCCTTCGGTTTGATGTGGATCATTTGCTACTGACTTGGTTGCACTGTGTAATCTGGGCCCTGTGTTTCTCTGCTGTGCTCTCTCCACCAGAAAAATAATAGCAGAAAAGACATCCCCACACTGAAAGCTACCCCCGAGCGTGTGAACACCGAGAAGCAGTGTCTGCAGAGCTGTTCGCCTACAGTTCCAGAGCCCACCTCATCCACAGGGGTTGCCCAGTCCACCTCTTTGTGCCTGTTGCAGAACCTCTCGCACAGCTCCCTGCCCAGGTCTGCGCGGAGCGTCACGGAGAGCATCTCCACGCAGACACCCGAGTCGCCTCTGGCGCCCTGTGACGTGTGTGCTAGTGCTCAAGCCAGCCTCCGGGAGGTGAGCAGAGCCATCGCCGGCATCTGCCAGAGCCAGAACATCCCCTCGGCTCTGAGCAGGTTCCACGAGACGCTGGAGGAGACCATGGGTAGGAGGACCCTCTCTGCAATGGACATGAATTACTGGGCCTCTGAACAAAGCAAGGACCTCTCCCGGATCAGCAAACATCTCCACATGCTGCTGCAGCTGATAAACCCTCTGAAATCGAAGCTGGAAGAAGCAGACAAACAGAAGGATGAGCTGCAGAAGAAGGTGGAGGAACTTGCCAGGTTGCTTCAGGAGGAGAAGAAAACCCAACAACAGCAGAGGAAGGAGGCTGAGCAGTCCCTGGAGGCAAAGAAGAAAGAGCACTTGGAGACTGTAGCCAAACTGGAGCGGGACAAGGAGGACCTACGGAGAGGTACAGTGTAATTCCCTGCATCCCCTCCTGAGACAGTGTGTATTTGCAGGAGAACCACCAGGGCCATGATAAAGTCTTGGTCCCGCTGCAAAGAGCAGGGTTTTTGCCTTGGATTTTAGTAGACCCAAATGTCATCAGCAAACGCCTGTTCCCTTTAGATTCACTCCTCAGCTCCCAGGTGTTTTCTCCATAGTCCTGTGACTGAGAGACCCAGAGAGAAGCCTTACTGTGGATTTTCCTGTATCATGGAAATCACCCCTTCATCCGTCCCTTGACAGAAACCGTTAGCAGTTCCCCCGGAGCAGATGAGGGTTGATGCACTGGGACCGCTGCGCTCCCCGACGCTTCCTTTGCCCAGCCCCTCCATCTCCCCTCCTCAGGGTCTCATTTCCACCCCTCTGCAGCCTTCACAGGGCTCTCCATGCCCGGTCGCTGCACAGCATCTCGTGCCTACTCCCTGCTGTGACAGCCTGGACACTGGAAACTGGTTGTCTGTGTCCTTTCACTGACTTCTCTCTGCTGAAGCAAGGCATGCTACTGTTACTGGATGAGGAATTCTTAGACACAGTCTTTTGCTGCCTCCTTATTGTAGTTTCACTGAAGAACTGTGAAAAATTTAGCTGAGTTTTCTCATTGATTTAGGAGCTACTCTGCTGGAAGAGCGAATCTCTACCTTAAAGGAAGCACTGGCTGCTAAGCAAGCTGCTCTGCAGGAGCTGGGTAAGGATCCTTGGGGCTTCATCCAGCTGGCACATCTCATCCAGAGATCTTGCTCTCACCTCATGCTTCTTTTGCACATATGTAACTGCTGACTCTCCTGAAGTCGCTCATGCTTAGTGCTGGTGGGCAGGAGAGATGAACCGTAACAGGGTGTAGGTGACTTCCATCGTTATATTGGCTCAACATCACCTAGTCAGAGTGGGACAGACAGGGGCAGGAGCAAGGTCCCCAGCTCCTCATGCCCACATAGATGACCAGAGAGTGTGATGGCCAGGGGGAGGGCTTTGTGCCTTATGGGGCTGGAAAGAATCCATGCAACAGCAGGATCCATGCTGGTCATCCCAAGTCGTGCTGCTGCCCACTCAGCATGCTCAAGAGCAGGATCTCTGCCACCCAGCCAGGCAGCTGTGTCTGCAGGAGGAGGAGAGAGGGCCCTAGGCCTTTATCAGCCACCCTTCACATCTAAATGTGCCCAGCCCTCCTGTCAGACCTGCCTCATCTCCTCCTCAGGGCCTGTTGAGGGTGGAGGGCCCCATGAAGGCGTCTTGTCTCTGGGAGCTTCCCCCCTCCTGCCCAGCTTGGGCTGAAGGACACCTGTCTCCCCAGAGGTGACCAAGAAGACCCTGCTGGAAGACATGAGGACCAAGATGGTGGCCAAGAGCCAGGTGCTGGAGCTGCAGGAGAAGGTGCAGCTGCTCACTGGCCAGCAGGAGGGCATGGGCCGGGAGCTGAGCGCCGTCACCACCCAGCTAGAGAAGGAGAAGGCCAAAGTGGAGAGTATGCTGAGGCACGAGGAGGTACGACCAGGCTTGCTGCCTTCAGAGCTGCTCTGTGGCACCAGCCACGGGCCTGCTCTGTCCCTCCACCTGGTAACAGGCTGACCATGGGCCAGCTCCTGCTCCCCCTGACCTTGAACCAGGTGGAGAGGGTGAAGAGATCCCACTCATGGTCCTGTTTGGCAGCGTGTCCGATGTGCCCACTCTCAGGCAGCACCAGAGAGGTGGCTCTGCCCCGCAGTGCTGCGCTTTGGCTGAGCCCTCCTTACCCAGTTCCCCGGGGTGAGGACCTACCTTCCCCAGTGCCGCTTCACTGCCTGCCTGGCTGCTGCCACGAGCCGTTGTCTGCTTGGGTTCTGCTTTGGGTGCTCCCAGGTTGAAATGGGTGCTCCCAGGTCTTTGCTTGTCCTGGCTTAAAGGCAGCAAAGACCTGGGGCAGTGGTCGCTTACGCATTTACCTGTTCCACGCAGTCCCTCCAGGCCAAGCAGAGTGCTCTGCTGCAGCAGCTGGACAGCCTGGACAAGGAGTGTGAGGAGCTGCGAGCCAGTCTGGGAGAAGCCGAGGAGGACAAGGCCAGACTGGCAGAGCAGCTGAAGGAGAACCAGGACAAGTGGGAGCAGAGTGGGTGCCAGCTGGAGACACAACAGGTCAGCACAAGCACCCAGCCTCCAGGAGCAGGGCACCCCTTCCTCGGCCAGGGGGCTGCAGTGGGACACAGCTCTGCTACGGGAGTGACAAGAGCCACCTGCTGTCCTGTCCTGCTCCCCTGTCCATTGCTAGGGGTTTCTCAGCAGGGTTCCTCAGAGACCATGTGTGACATTGCCCTGGCTGCAGCCGGGTGACCATCTCCACCCAGCATGGCAAGACCGTCTTCTTCAGCCCTTGCACAGACAAATGTGCCGATTTTCCACAGGAGGCTACACAAAGTGGAGCAGGAGGGACCACCTCCTCAGTCGGCCTCCCGTGTCTCCAAAGTGCATGTTTCTGGACATGCACAATATTTAGTGGTTGGACTTTTGTCTCAAACTCACACAGGGACCCTTGCAGTTAAGAGCGCTGCAGCTCATCACACTCCTGTAGGACATCTTTATCCCACAGGGAAAGGGAGCTTTCCCGGGGAGCTGTGCAGAGCTGCGTTTTGAACCCCGCGGTCTGCCCCTGCATTGCGCTGCAGTGGGCGTTGGGAGGGCATTCTGCAAACCTCACTGACCGCCTGCTCTGCTCTGCAGAAGCTGCTGGACACGGTGCAGCAGGAGAAGCTGGGCCTGGAGCAGTCCATCTCCGAGCTACGCACGAACGTTTCTGGCCTGGAGGAGATGGTCCGGAAGCTGAAGGAGCGGGAAAGGTTGCTGGTGTCCTTCCCGGAGCTCCACGTCCCTGTTGAGGCACAGTTTGAGAGTAAGGGAGAGGAAGGGGTAGAAGGCAGAAGGCAGAGGAGGAAGGGGAGCTCCCACAGCCTCCCTGTCCCACTACCCCCTTCCCTGGGACTCACGGGGGATCGTGGTGGCCCCTGACGTGTCCGTGCTATTTTAATAGCTCAAGTCGTCCCACAAATATGAGCAAGTTGCAGTTGGGAAGGGTCCAGTCGCTGGGCTGTGCTAAGCTGGTGCCAGCGTGGTCACTGGTCCTCACACCCCTGTTCCTGGCCTTCCCTGCTGACAAAAGTCAGGACCTCTCTGACCATGTCTGGGCGAGTAAATAGAGCAAGGCCAGGGCACGGGCTTGGGGGTGGCTGGTTGTTCCTCGCTGTTTTGTTGCTGGTTTGCTCCCTGGCACTGTTCAGGGCCCCAGATGCCACCTCCCAGACAGTGCTTGGCTCCTTGGCCTGGGAGGGCCTCTTCCCAGTGCACAGCGTCCTGGGAGCTGCCCTGCTGCAGGACACGAGCCTTTCCCGGGAGGAAGCCCCATGGGAGGAAGGAGGGCTGAGGAAGTGGTCCTGGGCAGCCTGGAGGGATCCTCTCCTGCAGGGTGTTTGCTCCTGGTGACATCCCTAATGGCACCAGCAAGGGGATACAGCCCTGGGGAGGTGCTGTGAGCCACGAGCCTTGCCTGAGCATCACGGCATTGCTGCAGCTCAGCGGGGAAATTGGGAGGCAGGTGCTGCCTGTCCCTCCTCCGTGCGCTGTCAACACCAGGAACGAACAGGCAGAGGGTCAAGCTTGGGCTCCTGGCGCAAGGGAGCGTGTTGGATTTGCAGGCACCGGGAACTTTGCTGAGGACATGGAGAAGCAGCTGCAGGCCAACAACATCAGGCTGAGCATCCTGGAGCAGGAGAACGCGCGGCTCCGGGCTGCGCTGGCCAAGGTGAAGGCGGCAGCACAGCAGGGAGTGCTCAAGGTGGGTCCCTCGTCGGGAGAGCGGATAGAGGCACCGCTGGGGCCTACGGATCCCAGGACTGTTTCAGGCAGAGGGAACGGGCTCCTGGCCCACTGATGCTGCCTCGAGGAACCTGCCTGAGCCTGCGGCAGCCGGGACTGGTACTGCTGCCCATGCGGGCTGCGGTTGAAGCTGCAGCGCTGCTGCAGTGGCTCCTCGTTGCGAGGATCAGGGCAGGCACTCGGAGCACAGCCCTGGCATGGGGTGGTCGAGCTGCAGGTGCCAGTCCACGCAGGAGCTGCTCTCGCTAGGGGCAAAGCTGTGCTGTCCTGCCCCACATATCCTGCTGCTGCCCCTATCGCAGCCCCAGCCTGTGCCCCAGTGCGTGCTGCAGCCCCTCCGTGCACCCAGGCAGGGCTGGGCTCCTACTGCTGCCCAGCAGGGCAGCCCTTGGGATAAGGGATTGTCCATGAGCTCCTGGGTCAGCCCTGGCACTTCTAGACAGTTCTGTGTTTCTGCCAGTGGGTTTCCCATCCTGGCAGAACCTGTACTGCCCCTGGGGAAGGCCCGGACCTGAGCTCCATGTGTCTTTGGGAGGCTGGTCTGCTGCAGCACAGGTGCTGGTGGAGGAAGGCTCATTTGCCAGCTGGTTCCTGGCTCCGCCGCACTGCTCCTGTGAGACTGCTGCCCTGCCAACAGCCACTCAGCGATGATTTCCACCCGGAGCCAAGGCCCAGAGCAGCAGAGCTGGGCGCAGGGAGGTTTTCACCCCCTCTTCTCTTCCCCAGCTTGTCCCACAGACCCAGCTGTGGACTCAGCTCAGCAACCAGCGCGTCTCCGAGGCCGGCACCCAGGATCCCCAGGGCCCCAGGTGAGTGAGGATGCAAAAGGGGCTGCGGAGCTTCCTCGTCTCCGCCGCCCTCTTACACCCCTTCCCTCTGCAGGCGCCC